CTTCTTTATGTCTGAATAATATTTTATTGGATATATATGTGTGTATATATATATATATACACACCACATTTTGTTTCTTTCTTTTCCAGTTTTATTGAGAAATAATTGACATACATCACTGTAGAAGTTTAAGGCAGACAGCATGATGGTTTGATATCCATATGTTGTGATATGATTATCACAATAGGTTCAGCTAACATCTGTCATCTCATATAGACAAAATAAAATGAAAAGAAAAGAATTTTCTCCTTGTGATGAGAACTCAGGATTTACTCTCTTAACAACTTCCTCAGATATCATACAGCAGCACTAACTGTAGTCATCATGTTGAACATTACATACCCGGTACTTGTTTATCTTATAACTGGAAGTCTGTACCTTTCAACCACCTTCATATAATTTCCCCTCCCCCTACCCTCCCCCTCTGGTAACCACAAGCCTGATCTCTCTATGACTTTGATTTTTTATATTTTAGATTCTACATATAATTGAGATCATACAGTATTTGTCTTTCTCTGCCTGACATTTCACTTAGCATAATGCCTTCAAGGTCCAGCCATGTTATTGCAAATGGCAGGATTTCCTAATTTTTTATGGCTGAATAATATTCTGTTGTGTGTTTGTGTATGTATATATATATTTTGTGTATACATATATACGTTTTGTGTGTGTATATATATATATAAGTACCTATATAGATATATAAATGTAGACACAAAAATATGTATTTTGGGGGCTGGCCTTGTGGCGCAGCAGTTAGGTGTGCACGTTGCACTTCAGGCGGCCCGGGGTTCACTGTTTCGGATCCTGGGTTTGGATCCTGGGTGCGGACATGGCACCGCTTGGCAAGCCATGCTGTGGGAGGCATCCCACATGTAAAGTAGAGGAAGATGGGCACAGATGTTAGCTCAAGGCCAGTCTTCCTCAGCAAAAAGAGAAGGATTGGCAGTGGATGTTAGCTCAGGGCTGATCATCCTCAAAAAAAAAAAAAAAAAGTATTTTGTGTATGTGTGTATATATATGTATGTGTGGTATCTATAGATACATATATACACCACAACTCCTTTATCCATTCATCTATTAGATCTATAGACCCTTAGGTTGTTTCCCTTTCTTGGCTATTGTAAATAATGCTGCTATGAACATGGAGGTGCAAATATCTTTTCGAGTTAGAGTTTTTGTTTCCTTTGGATATATTCTCAGAAGTGCCAGATCATATAGTAGTTGTATTTTTAATTTTCTGAGGATCCTCCATACTGTTTTCCATAGTTGCTGCACCAGTTTACATTCCCACCAACAGTGCACAAACATTTCCTTTTATCCGCATCTGTATCTGTATTTGTTATCTCTTTATACCACATTTGCTTGATCCATTCATCTGTTGATTGACACTTTGATTGTTTCCATGTCTTGGCTGTTGTGAATAATGCTGCAATAAACATTGGGGTGCAGATATCTCCTAAAGACAGTGATTTCATTTCCTTGGGATATATACCCAGAAGTGGGATTGCTGCATCATATGGTAGTTCTATTTTAATTTAATTTTTTTTTTTTTGAGGAAGATTAGCCCTGAGCTAACATCTGCTGCCAATCCTCCTCTTTTTGCTGAGAAAGACTGGCCCTGAGCTAACTTCCTCTACTTTATTTGTGGGATGCCTGCCACAGCATGGCTTGATGCACGGTGCCATGTCTGCACTCGGGATCCGAACCGGTGAACCCCGGGCTGCCGAAGGACATGCAAACTTAACTGCTGCGCTACCGGGCTGGCCTCTATTTTTAATTTTTTGAGAAACCTCCGTATTGTTTTCCATAGTGTCTGTACCAATTTGCATTCCCACCAACAGTGTACAAAGAGACCCTTTTCTCCACATCCTCATCAACACTGATCTCTTGTCTTTTTGGTGATAGCCATTCTAACAGGTGTGAGGTGATACCTTACTGTGGCTTTGATTTGCACTTCCCTGATGATTAGTAATGTTGAGCATATTTTCATGTACCTGGTGGCCATTTAGACATTTTATATATAAGTGGAATCATAGAACATTTTATCCTTTTGTGCCTGGCTTATTTTGCTTAGCGTAACGTTTTCAAGGTTCATCCATGTTGTAGCATGTTTCAGAATTTCACTCCTTTTTAAGGCTGAATAATATTCCATTCTATGTATATACCACATTTTATTTATCCATTCATCTCTTTATGGAACTTGGGTTGTTTCCATATTTTGGCAATTGTGAATAATGCTACAATGAACACTGGCATACAAGCATCTGTTTGAATCCCTGTTTTCAATTCTTTTGGGTGTATGCCTAGGAGTGGAATTGCTAGGTCATATGGTAATTGTATGTTTAGCTTTCTGAGGAACTGTCAAACTGTTTTCCATAGCAACTGCACCATTTTACATTCTCACCAGTAATACACCAGAGTTTTCCATATCCTTGCCAATACTTGTTATTTAAAAAAAAAATTACCATCATCCTAGTAGGTGTGAAATGATATTTCATTGTGGTTTTGATTTGCCTTTCTCTAATGACTAATGATGTTGAGCATCTTTTCTTATGCTTATTGGTCATTTGTATATTTTCTTTAGAGAAATATCTATTCAAGTCCTTTGCCCATGTTTGAATTGGGTTGTCTTTTTGTTGTTGAGTTGTAGTTCTTTATATATACTGGATAATATATCATTATCAGATATATGATTTAAAAATATTTTCTCCCATACTGTAGGTTATCTTTTCACTTCATTGATAACATCTTGATGCAGAAAAGCTTTACATTTTGATGAAGTCCTGTGTACTTTTCTTTTGTTGTTCAGGCTTTTGATGTTATTGCCAAATCCAAGGTCATGAAGACTTACTTCTGTTTTCTTATAAGAGTTTTATGGTTTTAGCTCTTATATTTATTTTAGGTCATTGATCCATTTTGAGTTAATTTTTGTGTATGGTGTGAGATAAAGGTCCAACTTCATTCTTTTGCGTGTGGAAATCCAGTTGTCCCAACACCATCTGTTGAAAAGACTATTTTTTCCCCCACCGAATGGACTTGGCATCCTTGTAAAAAATTAATTGACCATAAATGTTTGGATTTATTTCTGGAGTCTCAATTCTATTCCATTGATCTGCATGTCTATCCTTATGCCAGTATCACATTGCTTTGATTACTGTAGCTTTGTAGTCAGTTTTGAAATTGGGATTTCTGAGTGTTCCAAATTTGTTCTTTTTCAAGACTGTTTTGGCTGTTCAGGGTCCCTTGCAATTCCATATGAATTTGGAGATAAGTTTTTCCTTATCTCCACCAAAGGCTGTTGAAATTTTGATAGTGATTGCATCGAATTTGCAGATCACTTTGGGTAGTATTGACATTTTAAGAATAATAAGTATTCCTACTCAAGAATATAGGATGTATTTCCATTTATTTATTTAGTTTTCTTCAGCGATGTTGTGTAGTTTTCAGTGTACTACTCTTTTACTTTATTGGTTAAACTTATTCCTAGGTATTTTATTCTTTTGGATGCTATTATAAATGTAATTGCTTTATTAATTTCCTTTTTTGGATTTCTCATCACAGGTATATAGAACTACAACTGATTTTTGTGTGTTGATCTTGTATCCTGCAAATTTGCTGAATTCCTTTATTAGCTCTAGTAGCTTTTTTGTGGATTCTTTGGGATTTTCTACACATAAGACCATGTTATCTGCAAATAGAGAGAGTTTTACTTCTTCCTTTCCAATCTAGTTATCTTTTATTTCTTTTTCTTGTCTAATTTCTCTGGCTAGAAATCCCAGTACAAAGTTGAATAGCAGTGGTGAAAGGGGACATCCTTATCTCGTCCCCATCTTAAGGAGACAGCTCTCAGTCTTCTACTGCTGAGTGTGATGTTGGCCATGAGTTTTTCATAAATACCCTTTACCGCATTGAAGAAATTCCCTTATATTCCTAGTTTTCTGAGTTTTTAAAAAGAGTGTTGGATTTTATCATGACAGAGTGTCAAATGCCTTTTCTGCATCAATTGAGATAATCATCTATTTTTTCCTTCATCCTATTAGTGTGATTTATTGCATAGATTGATTTTCTTATGTAATCAGTATTTCATTCCTAGGACAAATCCCACTTGGTCATGGTGTATAATCATTTTAATATGCTGTTGGATTAGGTTTCTTGTGTTTTGTTGAGGACTTTTTCATCTACATTCATAAGGAATTTGCGTCTGTAATTTTCTTTTCTCGTTATGTCTTTTTCTGGTGTCATTAGCAGGATAATGCTGGCCTCATAGAATGAGTTTGGAAGTGTTCCCTCCTCTTCACTTTTTTGGAAGAGTTTAAGAAGAATTGGTGTTAATTCTTCTTTAAATGTTTGGTAGAATTCACCAGTGAAGTCATCTGGTCCTGGACTTTTCCTTGTCTTTTCTCATATCTGGGAAGTTTTCTGCCATTATTTCTTCAAATAACTTTTCTGCTGCTTTCTCTGTCTTCTCCCTCTGGAACTTGCATGTTGCCTACATTAGTTCACGTGATGAGGCTCCTCACATCCCTCAGACTCTGTGCAGTTTTCTTCATTTTTTTTTCCTTTCTGCCCCTCAAACTTGATAGTTTGAGTTATTCTATCTTTAAGTTCACTGATTTTTTCTTTTGTCTGCTCACGTCTGCTATTGAACCCCTCTGGTGAATTTTTCACTTTAGTTATTGCACTTTTCAGTTCCAGAATTTATCTTTGGTTCCTTTTTATAATTTCTGTCTCCTTATTGATATTCTCATTTTGTTCATACGTTGTTTCCCTGATTTCCTTTGGTTCTTTGTCCATGTTTTCCTTTGGTGATTGAGTATATCTAAGATAGTTGTTTTAAAGTCTTTGTCTAGGAAGTCCAATGTCTGGGCTTCCTCAAGGACAGTTTTGGCCAATTTACTTTGTTCCTTTGAATGGGCCATACTTTCCTGTTTTTTGTATACCTTGTAATGTTTGTTGAAAAATGGACATTTGAATATTATAATGTGGTGACTCTGGAAATCAGATTCTCCCCCTTCTCTAGGGTTTGCTGTTTTTTATTTTTTGATTATTGAAGGCTATAGCAGTCTATCATTTAGTGACTTTTCCTAAGTGTGTTTGCAAAGTCTGTGTATCTCGTCATCTGTGGTCCTTGAAATCTCTGTTCTTTCAGAGACTTTCTTGAAGGCTAGAAGATAAAATCAAATAAAATAAATTTTAAAAATTACATCCCACCCCCTAAAAAAAGCAGAAAAGAAAGACAAAAGAATAGCACACACCTCTCGTCGTCCTTGCAGATTGGCTCTGTGCTGGGGCATGCCACCCTTACACAGTCTCGCACTGAGCCTAGAGATCAGCCTGAGATGAAAAGTTAGGGTCCTCTCAGGTCTTTCTGAGCATGTGTCTTGCCCTAGACATGTGTCTGGCTTTCTAAATCCCCCTGAATATTCCTTTTATATATAGGCACTTTTTTTTTAATTTAAAGAACTTACTTTTCTTTTTTGAGGAAGATCAGCCCTGTGTTAGCATCCACTGCTAATCCTCCTCTTTTTGCTGAGGAAGATTGGCCCTGAGCTAACATCCATGCCCATCTTCATCTATCTTATATGTGGGACGCCTGCCACAGCATGGTTTGGTAAGTGATGCATAGGTCTGTGCCCGGGATCCGAACTAGAGAATGCCAGGCCACCAAAGCAGAGCATGCAAACTTAACTGCTATGCCACTGGGCTAGCCCTTTAATTATTTTTAATTTTTTTGCTAGGAAAGACTCACCCTGAGCTAACATCTGTTACCAATCTTCCTCTTTTTTTTTCCTCTCCAAAGCCCCAGCACATAGTTGTATATTCTAGTTATATGTCCTTCTAGTTTTTCTATGTGAACCACCACCACAGCATGGCTACTGATGGACAAGTGATATGGTTCTGTGCCCGGGAACTGAACCCAGGCCACCAAAGTGGAGTGTGCCAAACTTTAACCAGTAGGTCATCAGGGCTGGCTCCATAGGTGCTTTTGAATGTCCTAATTTCCCAAAGAATCCCCTCAGTGTTTCCTCCTGGGTCTGAGGCGGTCTATTGTATGTCTAGACCTTAATCCTTTACTCCAGGCGTCTGTGGGTTGACAGTGTGCCTTGCAGCTTTTTTGAACAATGCTTCCAGCTTTTCTGGGCCTGAGTTAGTCCAAACAGAATCAAACACTTGAGTCGGTTCCTCAGATAGCCCCACACAGGTTAGAATAAACATACACAATAATTTTCAAATAAGGTCGTGTCTGCTTCCTCTGGAACTAGGGACCAGGGTCCACCCTAGGAACGCGGGCTGCTGCAGCTTTAACACTGCCACGAGGCCAGAGTGGAGGCAAGGGCAAGTAAAAATGCCACGAAGCTTTTCTACCATTTTCAAGGCGTCTTTTTGTTGATTGAGTGTTCATTTGGTTGCTGTAAGCCTTTGGCTTTTTTCCAGAGTTCTGACAAAGTTGGTTCTGACAATTTCTGTTTGTTTTTCAATGTTTCTGTTGGGGAATGAGAGCATGGGACTGCTGACATCATCAACACTAGCATTTCATACACTGGAACTTTTGGTCAACAAAGTACCTCTGATTTCTGTAGTGACTCAGTGTCTCTGGGGTAGTTGGAGACCTACTTATTTGTCCAGTGTATTTCTACTCTTAATGAAAGATATTGTTCCCAAGTATGACGATAATTTCTACATTTCAGGTCCTCTAAGTCAGTAGTTCTCAACCCTGGCTGCACATTACACTCACCTGTGGAGTTTTTAAGAAGCAGAGATGCTCAGAATCCTCCTCAGACTTGGAGAATCAGAACCTTTGAGGGTCGGTAGCAAAGCGAATAAATATGACTAGGATTCTCTTTAGAGTTCTAGTGTGAAGGATAAAAATAGATTATTTAACATTTAGTATAGCACTATGGACATCATTATAGTAAACTGTAAGGATAGCTTATTCTTGAATAATGAAATTAAAATTTACTTATGGGAATTCTAACATTTTTATTCTTATTTATTTTGCTTCAATAAAGGCAGAACATGCTATTTAAAGTCAACAAGTGATTAACCATGACAGCAGTAATGTACACACCTGAATTCGTTTTTCTAATTGTGTACTTATTACATATGTGTATGTATATCTAGTTCTATCCATACATATATGTAATTAGGTAGCTATTCTAAAACATAGAATCCTTAAAGTATTTAATGTAATGTTTAATTTTTCATTATTATACCTTAATGGGGAAAAAAGAACAATAAAATATGTCTCTAAATATATAGTCCCATGGCCAGTAGTATTGTGACAACATTGGTTATTTGTGTATAGTTAATCTACTTAGGACTTTTAACTTTCAGGAAATATCAGTCTAAAGTAAATCATTAATTCAAGAATGGTAAAGATTCTTCATGAAAAGAGACGCTGGGCCCCACTGAGTCGCAGGCTCTCAAGCTGTCCCTCAAAACCTTCCTGATGATGCTCTCTGCATTCGTTTTTTTCTTTGTTGTCTCCTTTTCTAAAGTCAAAAGCTATCTAGACTCTCCCTTTTTAGTTTAGTCTCCAGGGGAAAGGTGTTGGCTCATTTATTTATCACTGTTCAGCCTCTCTCTCTCTCTCCCACAAGAGCCAGTCTATTTACCATTTCTTATTTTTTTTTTTTAATGGCTTGGACAAGAAAGAGAAAACAGTATACTTTTTTCAGCAGAAACACATTACTATTTACTCCCTTAAGCAGGAATTTCAAGGAGAATGCCTCAGAACAGCATTTTAAACCAACGTCATAAATGCTTCCTTTTAATAAAAGAACCCCCCCCGAAATAATGCTGGCCTCAGGAGGGTCCTCTGATGGTTGGCTGCTGTCCTCTCATTTCTCCTGTCTTTGCATAATCATTGTGGTGACGGTTGTTGGAGAAACAGACGCTGTACGTAGATTCTTCACAATAGGCTCAACTTCTACCCTACGCCCACCTTTCATGCATGCACACGTAGTGTTCTCTCTGTGCATTGAAATTACTATACTGAGTTTTTATTCTTTTTGTTGGGTGGAGCTCTGATTGGTTTACTGGATGACAAATATTTGCTCTGTTTTTGAATCTCCAGTTGGTGTCCATCTTTTTTCACGTTGGCTGGAAGGACAGGGATCAAAGCCCAGAACTGGGACAGTCACTGCTTATGTTTGCGCTTTATCTCATTAAGCGCTGATCACCACGAAAGCAAACAGCCTGTCATGAAATTTGCCTTGCAGACAATATAACAAAGAAATCTTATGAGAAAAGGCTGAACAGAAGGCGTGTTTAATCTGTTGTAGGGTTGGTTAGCCCCAGTTTCAGACGAAGAGCGATGATACTTGGAAAAAAATTGGGAGCCTGCCTGAGGGCAACATTTACCCCTGATGTAGAGATGGCTACAGAAACCTAACCGTTGGAAGTTTTCAACATACAAATCAGGATTTATTAAAGGAATTAATATCTTCGAAGGCTCACAAAGCAATCCTGTTTTCCTACAAGAAGGATGAAAGGCAGAGATTTCAAAACATTTGCTAGAAAACATCAATAGCCAATCCTGCTGATTTAATTTTTTCAGTCCCTCAGGCATCAAAAGAAGTTGTGACTTGTCCACATTTGCCTCGGAAGCAAAGCAATATTGGAAATTAAAAATGGCTGGAGCTTAGCTGGCTGCATTTCATTTTTAATTAGTTGGGGCCTCACAATATTTATCAACAACATCTTCCGCTCAGAAGCTAAGGAACTTCCTCCTCATGTTTGTTGTGAAGAAGGTGCAAGGAGTATTGGGTGACATTCGCTTACACACCAAGGAAAAAGTTCTTAGATTTAGCTCTCCATCGCAAATACTAAAAGAAACAGTATCCAGTCCGCTCCATTTCTATTCTCTTTTATTCTGGAGCAAGCAGGGGTTTCCTACTCCCTTTAACCAGTTGGGAACTCACAAAACATGAACTCAGAGATGGGTGCTAAAAATCAAAACAAATTCTGACAATGTGTGGCGTGCCCATCACCAAAGTGTAACAGAAGCAACTGATTTGCTTTGGGCATTTTGTTGAGGTGTGTGGCTAACCCGTAGGAGGCAACGGCAACATAGTCCCAGATTTGGAATTAAAGTTTGCCTCTGAGAATCAAAATGAGAAAAGTGGTCATGAAGTACATGAGACTAATCATTCATTCGTTCCAAATATGTTTGGTGGCTACTCTTTTATGTCAGGCACTATTTTAAGCACTTGGGATAAAGTGGTGAACAGGAAGTCAAGATCTCTGACATCCTAAAGCTTACACTCGTTTGCAGAAATATTCCACCCTAAACAGTACTTTGTAAATGGGTAGGTGAATTCCAGGAGCGCTCAAACTCTGTTCAAGGTAACAACAGCATATTTCCAAGAAAACATGACTGTGTTAGTATATCTAAATCTGTAACCTTATCAGTTATATTTAATCTTACCTAAAGAATATATTAAAAGAAGCCTAGAAAAAGGAGAAATCAAGAGCAGAAATTTGCCAGTAGGTCTTCATCACAGCAGTGAGCAGGGGCTCCGACCAGCAGCTTCCGGTCCCCTTTACAAGTCAACCTCAACAGTGGAGATGGATGCATCAGGCTGGCTTGGTGCCATTAGTAAAGGTCATCCCACTAACTCAAGCGACCTTCTGTTATGATGTAGCTCTCCATATGGGTTTTCCTACAAGGAGAGAATGTGCCTCTACAGTCCCAAGAACTCCAATCTTTTTTTTAAAGTTATAGTTCTCATTATAAATATTTAAATCTCTTGGGAGTTTGGTGATCAGGACTCAGAACATCTTTGGGTATTCTGACAAGGCTGAATTTCTAGAACTATAAAGCTGAAGCTCAGAGCCTCAAATAGTGTTTCTCCAAGGATGGTTTTAAAATTTCTGGCATGAGAATCACCTAGTGGGCTTGTTAAACATACAGATTCCTGGACTCATACTCCATCAGAATCTTTGAGCATGGGGCTCAAGAGCCGTATTTTACCGAGGGCTCCCGATGATTCTAGTGCAGAGGAAAGCTTGAGTCGCTGCCTGAGAAGCCCGAGATCAGAGCCAGTGAGGCTCTATTACGGCATTAGCCAGTGTCCTAGGCAACATCTAGGAATTTTATCTTTATAATTGCAACGAAGTATTTCAGCAAATTCTTGTCAAAGCTCAGTGGCTTTCTCAATCTGTCCTCCTTACTTTCCCAGTCTCCTTTCCAACCTCTCCTCTCCATCATTCTATGTTTCAGCACTCTGAATACATGGCTTTCATGGCTCTACGCTCATACATGTCTTGAGGGTGGTTGTTTGTTTTGCGGGTGAGAGGGAGGACAATAAATAAGATCCCAATTCCCTGCCTGAGTTCCACACCAACTGAGAACGAGAAAGGAGGCAGTTCAAGAGAAAAATACACTTTTATTACTACTGATAGTGTGATTGGAGAATGTGGCTTAGATGTGGCAAACAGGGTTTCTTAATTCTGGACTCCAGAATTAGACACACTTACCCATCCCATCCCAGGCAGCATTGGATAGCTACTGGCTTCTTCTCTCAGAGACAACCAACTGCTCCTAAGCTTATGGAAGGCCAAGAGCAGACCAGGTGGATCCGAAAGGGGAGGGAGGAGGAAAGTGGCTGAGCAAAGCATTCCAAGTTCCCGGGCCCTAACTCTCCCATCAAATTAAGTCATTCTTCCCCTTGTGAGGAATGAGTGAAGGAGGGGAAGGCAAGAGTCCAGAAATGTCACTCCAACACATGTCCCTTGACATGAAGGGAAACGTCAGGAGTGGGGAGCAAATGCTGCCCCTGACAGCGTGCACTATTCTCGGTGCCTGAGACACACTATGGCTCCCTACTCCCTTGCCTTATTTTGAATATCTTACTCCTCTTCCTATTTCAAGTTGCAGCTCAAATGTTAACTCCTCTGTGAAGCTTGAGGGAGTTGGTGGGAACATCCCCACATTCTCAGAAATGCATTGTGAGGTGATTTCGTTGTCATGTGAACCTCATAGAGTGGACTTACACAAAGCTATGGGGTAGTCCACTGCACATCTAGGCTGTGTGGTACTAATCTTATGGGACCACCATTGTAAACTCAGTCCATCATTGACCTCAACGGCCTTACGTGGTGCATGACTGTACTTACATGCTTTCTTTCCCTTGTGAGCAGAGGCTATGGCTTGTATCTTTATATTTCCATAACAGGTGTTCAATGAATTTTTGCAGAATGACTGTGAAAAAGATGGTAAACTCAAATATTTTTAAATTAGTATTAGTATTTTTTTTTTTTCCTTTTTCTCCCAAAGCCCACTGGTACATAGTTGTATATTTTTAGTTCTGGGTGCTTCTAGTTGTGGCATGTGGGATGCTGCCTCAGCATGGCTTGACGAGTGGTGCCATCTCCACGCCCAGGATTTGAACCAGTGAAACCCTGGGCCACCGAAGGAGAGCACGTGAACTTAACCACTCGGCCACAGGGCCGGCCCCTAGTATTAGTACTTTTAAATTAGTATTTTTAAGTCTGCATTTTAGCACCAAGACCAATAAGAAGACTATCAATTATTTTCCTTTATAAGACTTTCTATCCTCCAAAAATTTGCTAACAAACCTCTGGTCAAGGGAGATATTGCCTATTCAAGCCCCATCTTTGAAATCTTGTTGGCATCATTTTAGTAACATGGCACATATGACTGACGATCTGATCCTAAAAGATGTCCTCTTCCAGTTAATATAATTTCACCTACTCATAATTAAAATAAACTACTAGGTAATAAAGAATCACTTTTTTATAAAAAAGTTTCAAAGAAGTAGAAACTACGAATAGAGAAGTCATTTCAGATAAAACTTAAAATTCTGAAGTTCAATTATTTTAGAAAATTTATATTATGATTAATGATTTGCACATATATTTTATTATGAGATTGTGTTTTCTCCTTCACTCCAAGTTTACATATTTTGTCTAATTGTGGAAAAAAAGGATAAAAGGCATTGAGTCTTCAAGTTCAAACACTATCTGTCTTTACAACAGGGATGATGGATAGTTACAAAATAGTCATTTCATAAAATCATGGATGTAAGAAAATGGTTTCAATTGATAAAATCGATTTGTAACTCCTTATAAAAGAGACACAAGAAGTCATTTTTGTGGTGCTCTCCTCACTGATGAATATTTGGTATTAAAGAATATGTAATTGTCCTCAATACCGGCTTCATTTGAAACTTATGTTTTGTTTCATTTATCAGTTGTGGTAAGCCTCCTAAATGGTGGGTAAATAGGGTGTACGGAATGGTAAAATGCGCTGAGCTGGGGTCCGCCCCAGGCCTCTCCCTGCTTTAAGAAGGAACGATCCAAAACGAAGAAGAAAGCTATTCTTCCTTCGAAACAACAGCACAGGTCTCCCCCGCAGGAGCCACATTTGCCATTTTCTCTTAAAGAGACCCAATGGTTTGGGAGTATGTAGAACAATCAAACCCTTTAAGAAATTAGTCTCTAATGTCCTTTTAATACTTTATTTCTATTGCTGCAATCCCAGACATTCTTTAATTCTGTTTCAAACAGGTGTCTGTTAGGATATTTTCTTCTGTTTAGGACCTTCTGTAAACTTTCAAAATTGAGCTGTTTTGTCAATCAGCATCTGCTAAGCCCGGGGCCTACATAGTGTCAGTAAATGTGCTTCTATTTAACTACCTATTTACAGTCATAAGAGAAATAAACATATGAAATAAATGCATCTCAATGCATAGCTGTGCAGGAGTACAGATGTTTTATTAATGAAAATGAATCCGGCTTTTTGTAAGTCATGGCAGCAATATAACAGTTCATTGTTTGGTTCTGTGCTAGACAGTGCCTGCTGTTTCGACATAGAAATTCCTGTAATGCTTAATGGACATCTGGAAGAATTCAGCCAATTAATCGAATTCACGTAGGAGCTAGGCTAATGGCTGTCTGAAAGGCAGATTACATTAAATCAAACTTGCAATATGAATGAAAGCACTTAATCATACATGCAACATTCATTAGATGCGACACAGCAAGTGTTTTGATTACTTTAATGAAAGATCAGGTAAAGTGCATCAGCTGAACAGATTGAAAAGACAGCATGCTTACAAATGTTTGATTATGCTGAAGATCAACAGAAACAGTGCCAGTAATTTATAGCACAACATATTTGTAGGTGTCTAGAGCTGGTGAACTCGGTGAAATTTGGGGCCTTTGCTCAAAACAATAATTAATGTATGATAAGACTTTAATCAGGTGTCAGGAAAAGAGAGAGACTGCTAGAAGTTTAGCAACTTATAGTCACTGGGCATCTTCATGTTTTGAGTGACTTGGAGTTTCCTTGAACTCCAGTATCATTTGCTTTGAGGCACATAGTTCTTTTTTTCCCAGCTTTATTGAGGTATAATTGACATATAATGTTGTGTAAGTTTAAGGTGTCCAATGTGGTTATTTGACATAGATAGAAATTATGAAATGAGTACCACAATAAAGCTAGTTAACACGTCCATCACCTTACATAGTTACCTTGTGTGTGTGTGTGTGTGTGTGTGTAGTAAGAACATTTAAGATCTACTCTGAGGGACACAGTTCTTGAATGAAAAGGTGTCACTATACTGAAAACATTGGATTAAAAGAGGAATTAACTTTGTATCTTAGACTTTAAAATCTCATGCTGGGAATTAAAATGCTATTCTTAATAGTTGTTCCTGCCTTCTAGATTCATGAATATTTTTCCCCTTCTCTTCACTAATTATCTTATTGATTTTTTTCCTGATACTCTGAAGAAATAAATCTTGTAAGGTGCATTTCCTATGTAATATTAGTGTAGCAAATATCATTTGCAGCTTTTTGGATAAAACAAACAAAAATAAAGGATTTGTATGTGTATATATATATATATATATATATATATATATATATATACATACATATCCATCTATAAAGAATTTCCTTTCCAGAAGTACTTCTACTATTAGCCAGGACTGCCTGTAGAGGTGGTAGAAACCGCTTTTTCTTGGGGTTGAACAAAAGCACTGCTTTTCTCTCTCTACATTGATGTGTGATCCTGAAAACAAAGCAATGAGAATAGAACCTTTCAAGTCCTTTTTAGATATTTCATTCAATTCAAGCCAGTGAACATGTAGTAAGTACTCAACTGTTTTAGATGCTATGGGTGATATCAAGATGTGAAAGATAACACTTGTGGTAGCCACAAGGAGTTTGTAACAGTCTATCCACCAAAACGCATAAAGAAAAAAAATCAAAGCTTTAGGAATGACAAATAAGAGAACAACAAAATCCAGAATATATTCAAGCAGTAGAAGGTAAAGTGCAGATTTATAAATTTTGTAGAAAATCAGAGAAAAGCTGAAATAATGGGGAAGTTTGTGTTTGAATCGCTTAATTCACTTGATAAGAGATATAATTAAGAGAATTAAAATTTCATTATTCCAGAATTAAGCATTACAGAAAAATCTATGAATGCTGTTTTCCTTTGTCACAGAGACTTAAAAAATTGAGTGTATCAAACACTTTTTAAATATCAGATTGCACAACACAATTTTAGGCTAAATGAGTTGATTGCTTCTACCACAGTCTAGAAATTCTTCCTCTTCTTAATTTCCTCCCGTTACAGACACATTCACAAAAAGGGGAAGAAAAATGAGCTGGCCCAGAATATAACCATTATTTATAGCCTACCGACCAAATAATTCTTTTTCTACCCATGACCTCTTAAATTTTAGCACCATACTAAGAATATCACCAGAAGGAAAGCCTCATGCACTGCTTGCTACTGACTTAGGACTTCCTAAAACATTTAGTTCTTGTCTCAGTTACTTGAAAATGTCCACATTGTCAGCTACTTAAGCTCCATATAATAAAAAAAAAGGCATTGCTTCTCTGAACTACGTGCTGTGTTGCCCCATTTATTTTTTCGATCTCTTATTGTACTGGGTTATGTAATCTTCGAATGCCAAGTGGTCAGTGCTTCTGTTTGGAAAGGTAATCGTTACTGGGGTTTGCTCAGGGAGGGCGACACAGCGAAATCTTCCTGTTTCTCCCCACTGGCAAATCTTCACCTATTTGACTGATCAGGAACTGTCACTTCAAATATGGTTTCAATCTCTTTTGAAGCATTAAGTTTGACATCCTGCGCCCTGGAGAACCCTGCTATGATGGGATTTCACTAGCAACAACTCCTATCTGCCAGCCCGTTGCTACCTGTCTGCCTAGCCGTCTGTCTGTCTGTATCTCTCTAAGACGTGTTCTGAGACCTGTTCTTCACGCGGCTCAGAGGAGAAAGGCAGCGACGTGACCTCCTCCTATTGGGATTTGTGATCATATTTTCCGGACATTTGTGATCAAATGTTTCTGAGATGCCTGAAAAACTGTTTGAATCTAAGATGTGTTCTTTGAAATTCCTTCATTTTATTTTATAAAAAAGAACCTGGGAGTGGAGGAGGCGGAGTCACTGTGTATCCTTTCTTCTGTGTCTGGGGAATGCTCCTTTCCCAGAATTCTGGAAGGAAATGTTACCCCAATGTAACGTAACAAATCTAACAAGTGAATTACTCCAGTTCTTCTAATTCCTACACAGAGCCTGCGAGAATAAGATCAAATGTTGCCCCCTTGCACTCCGTCTTTTCTGTTTTATTAAAACTGGCTGGATAAACGAAGGACCCGTGATGTCTAGAGTTCCTCCTTCTCATGGAGCGATCCTAAGAGAAAATTGGAAATCATTTTATTCAAACTCAGTGGTTTTATATGCTTGATTTGTAATTCTTCTACCAAAGGTTTCCTTCTCTGAACCCTACTAAGAGTGAGATAGGACGGAGAGAAAGTTGTGATTTTCTGCTTAGTTGGTGAAAAAAGCTCCCTGTGGTTCAGCCTACTAGGCTTTCCTGAGGGCTATTTTCAGTAGTGTTTCATTGTTACTTTGGTTAAGGCTACTCCTGAGTTGTTCACTTTCATAATTTTCCATGGTGTGTTTTCTACTAATAATGATAATGCCGTTGATTGAGCTTCCACATTGGGTCAGGCATGGTTTAGTATTACTTACAGTAAAACTATCTTCACAACTGTCCAAGGAAAGTATTATCCTAAGGATGAGGAAATAGAAGTTCAGAGAGGTTAAGTAAGTCATTCAATGTAACACAGCTAGCAAATTGTACAACCAGGATAGGACCTTGGGTCTGTCCAACTTCAAGGCCTCTCTAGCTAACTAATTTTCTCAACATCATCCTTTCATTCTGTACTTTACGTACTCCTCTATTCATCTTTTATTGTGTTCTTTCATCATGTATGTTGATGCTTTCTAAGAGCATCTTTCTGCAGAAATGGTTGTATAGTAGATAGAAAAGAGGCTCACGTCTTTAAATCTGACAATGGAGTCCCCTATTAGCAGCTCTGAAGAGGAGAGTCCGGTCCCGATTTGGCTTGCAGATACATAAAAAGGGATCCAGACAAACTCCTTGGACTCGGTCAAGCGGTTCTCCAGCCCTGGACTGCTTTGAGTTCGGAAAGAACGGGCAGCCCCATCTCTCGCCTCAGCCCAACTTGGCTCCAAAGACCTGCAGTACCGCTGGTTTGGGAAGTACAAAATCTAGTTTCATTTAATTACTTTAAATCATTTATTAAATTCTTACCATGAGGAGAACATTGTGCTAGGTACTTTGTGGATAGACCCAGGCACTTCCCTCAAGGGTGTTCACAATGGAACGAGAGAGAGAATATATTCAATTAATACGAATATAGGACTAAGTGGGATGGAGGACTGACAGGGCGGAGAGCACGAATATAAGGTCATGTGGTGGCATATAGTGGCAGTAGTGTCCAGTCATGCCATCATGAGGCCTTAAGTTATGAATTAGTATTCGGGAGCATCTTGGTTGTAAGATTAGACCATGTACAGGTGCTTTAGTTATAAAACAGATCGTACTTGAATCAGTTCTCGATGGGTCCTTGGCAGCAATCTCTGATTCTGTGGTAGTGAAACCAGAAGAGGTCACAAAGAAATAGAAGTGGAGAGAAGTTGAAGGAAATAAAACTAAGCTTCAACATTCAATAGCGAAACAATATTGCTTCTTAACATCCAAGCGAAAGGAAAACGGCCAACTTGAGAGGAACTGGAAGAATAGGTGACAATACACGTTTTATTTCCATTAGCCCTCATATCAAAGGTTTTAAAGTGCTTTACAAAATATTATGCCTCACGATATCTTCATGAGAGAGGCAAGTGTTCTTATCTCCATATAAAGGTGGGGGAAAGAAGGCACAGAGGTTTGCTTCTTTTATGCCAAGTGAGGCCAAATATTTTGTAGAGTTTTTGAAATGAGACTTGAAAATAGAGAAGCAGAGAGAACGAAGGCTGGAAGAATTCGTAATTGAGGGGCATAATTTCACACCACGTAAGTGTCTAGAGAACATTAATACAGTGAATCTTCATTTCCAGTGAAGTGGAATGAAAGCCTTGAATTGCTTCAATGCACCACATCGTGCAAATAGCAATTTCAGTTTCAGAAAATCCTCCACTCGTACTGGAGTCGTTCAGTGAAAATGGTCATGATGAGGATTTCACACATAATTGTCCAAAATATGTCCGTAGTTGTACACTATGTATTTATATATATATTTGTATCTATAGAATATATCTATACAAACTTTCTCAGTTGAAATACTAAATATTTATGGGCATTGGGTAGACTTTTAAAATATCCTAATGGATAGCTAATGTGTTTTGGCTCCACTGTGTTATTTGTTCACAGGTTTCTTTTCCTTCCCCTCCTTATGTTTTGAGATACTGCTTTTCTGTGTTTTCTTTCATTTTGGAACTTTCTTTAAGACGTTCTGCCCAGGAAGATAGATTCAATAGCTCACTACGAATAAATATTGCAGTCCTAGTTTCTTATTTATAAAAAGTATATAAAACATCAACACACATTGATTTCCTTTATGTAAAGACTTTGTCTCAACATTCCCAGTGAGAAAGGTGTTGCTTATAGTTATTTGTTTTTATATTTTTCAATGGAGTGTTTGAAGTCAAAACATTTAGAAAGTTAGGTCGTCTGTCAGTTAAGTCTCTGATCAAACTAGGAATAAAACCTATTGATCCTGACACCAAGTTAGGACTTTGCAAGCAGTTAGTGCTAATGAATATGCTCTGTAGCTCTTGTTTTAATTAACTAGCACCCTATTTCTTGTGCCATAAAAGATCTGAGGTAACAATGCTGCTTTCATTGTTAAACTAGTTTCAAAGGATTAATTACAATTAACCTTTTGGGGAGCGAATCAATCTCTTTATTCGTAATAGATCGAAATGATTAAAGCTACTTACATCTGAGCTTCAACTTTATTTTGAAGTTACAATGTACTATTTAAAGAATTATACTTAAATATGGCTGCGAGTCTTTCTCAACTGATTTAGTGGAGAATTAAGCCCTAATGCCCTAAGGCATCCATTGTATGTAACAAATTAACTTTTCTCCTTGCATCTAGAATGGCACTAGTTATGTACCATCCTTGGGACAATTGAGAAAATAGTCAAGTAATTTTCTGTGTACTGCGGTCCTGATGAGGAATCATAGTTGAAAATGTGAAAGTTTTCTTGGTTTAGTCTTCTTTGCATTTCTGCCCTCTCTTAACAACCTCCCCTCCCCAGCAAAATATCAACCACAAATAAGCCTCTGGGGAAATCGGCTTTCTTGGAAAGCATAACCCTCCTGACATGTCAGCACTGTAGTTACAATGTACCAAGGCAGGTACAGGTCTTATTAATGACAGGCAACTCCATTTGACAACAGCAGCCAGGCCAATATTCAAATTCTCTCTATGTAAGGTCCCTAGAGAAATGCAAATAAGTAAATGAAATGTAGCCAACCCTGCAACATTCTATCCTGCTCTCTCACAATAATTCTGTCATCTTTAATAATCATTTCACACACACATACACACACACATACACACACATGATATTTAATATCTTCCACTAAAAAAGCATGGTTGATATTTAAGCAGTAGAAAACCAGAAGTCAAGAAAGATGCTATTATAATTATCTCATGAGCTATCATGTCCTTAAGTTAAAAAACCAAAATAAAACCAACTTACTAATAAGAATAATGAAGATTAGAGAATATAATACTTTCATGTTACAGATATTTACTGTAGTCTTTACTCATGTTTCCACTGGGTTTTGATCAATTCATTATTGGACAGAGAAACTTTAACTATATACTCTATTAGTTAAGGAGATACTTTTAGTGAGTAAATAATGACAATCTTTCTATTTATTCTATCTATGCCGCCTTGTAGTGTCTTCTTCCAAATTACTGTTTCTTGAGCCATGTGGATTTGGTGCTACCAGTGCTAGTCAAAATGGCTCCCAAGCACAAAACTACACATTCCTTTTTCCCGTAGGGGTATCATTCCCTGAGAGTTATGACTGAATTTTGGAAGCTGAGCCTGGTTGAAATTAAGATATAGGAACACCAAAGGGAAGTGGAAGGGTGTTCGTCTCTCCCTCTGGAAACATGCTAGACAAGCCCATTAAGTGTGTTAGCTGGCCTAGTGCCTCTTTTGATTGCCTCCAAATTAACATGTAGTTTTAGGCAAATGTCACTTATGGAGATAAGCCATAGATTTCAAAGGGCATCGTATAAATGTAAGAGGAATGGCATTAACAAATTTATACATTTTATGTAATGACATGATAAGTAATGAATAGTTTGTTTATTTACCTTGAAATATAGAACTATCATAATTCTTAGATAAAGCACAATGATAATTCTGCCTTAGTATAATTTATAAGAAGTTTTCCAATGAAATCATCTCACATCCAGTGTATCTCATTATTAACCTCTGATATAAAACTCAATTACAACTAAATCTAATTATGTAACAGGGAATGTAGTGTATGTACTATAAGTACACACGAAAGGAAGACATGCTTTGTTTTGCCTAAATTTCCTGTTGATGTAACACAAAATATTACTTACGACATCTAGCACAATGATTTAGGTAATAATGTCACCAGTTAAAGCTATGACATGGATGTAATACATAGTTTCAGTTAGCCTATCAGACGCAAATCTTCAGGAAACTAGGCTTTATTGGTTCAGATACTTGCCTGCTTGCTTTACAGAACACTTTGTTAAGTGAAAGGAAGAATAATGTGTCCAATTGAAAAACAGAGGGAGTTTGGGGCTGGCAGAATGCAATTGCCCAAGTTAGAGTGAACCAAATTGATCTGAAATCATTTAGATAACAATGTGATGGGCAGCGGACAGCATTTGTTTATGAAGACAGATTATGCCAGGCAAATCTGATTTATTTGGTCTTATAAAATTACTCAACAAGTTTGTGGGTAAAGAAAACTCCATGGACAAACAATATATCTAAATGTTTGTAAAAGCTTTTGATGAGGCTCTGCATGAGATTACGATAATTGAAATGCTGGGAAGATGTTGCCTGGATAACAATGCAGTGGTGTGGTTATCAGATTTAAAACAGAGGAATCATAAAAAATAGATCATAATATCTAATTGAGGTATTTGGCAGAAGACCATAAAAGAGCTAGCATCTTTATAGATCAATATCATAAGCAAGTATGAAAATGATTTAGTCCACAAAAATTAATTTACTCTTCCTTCAGGAGGTAACATATCATAAATAAAAATTGGTTTGAAATACTTTACTATTGTCTAAAATGAACTATTACTTTATTTTTGGCCTCTACTGATATTTACAAAATTTGGAATTTGTGATGTCTGCCAAAAGCATTAAAATAGATAGATTACCACAAGTTTGATAGGTTTCCAAAACAGTAAAATTCAGTGAAAATCTTAGGTAGGTTTGTGAATAAATTCCTTTATAGGTTTTTAAGAGCTGAGAGATAACTTAAAAGAAAACAGCTATAGTAACAGTAATAATTTCGAGAGAAACAGCAACTAATTATAAATAAAAATTAAGGGAAGAGAATATGGAAGGAGAAGGGAATACAGTGTGATGCCTTTTAAAGTTTTATTGTCAAATGGGAAAAATACTTTCAATATATATGCACATGGGTTACATTAAAATATTTAACAATACGTATGAAATGGCTGCTAACCAATAAGAAATGACATCGGCCACAGAGCTAGCACAGGGTCCTAAAGACCTCTTGGTAAGTTGGACATTAACTCTTTAGTTGATAAATAACGGGGAGGTGGGTGGTGTCTGGGAGGGTCTGGAGTGACTGGAAGAGTCAAGGGGAGAAGATTTGGAAAGATAGTGGCTATTTGTTAATCAATACAGAAGTATTTTAATATTTTTAACGACTGATACAGCTCTTTTGGTGGGTACCAGCTTTACAATAGCCAAAGGATCCAAGGAAAAAAAGCAGACAATTTGAACAGGTTAGAATACAAAAAATAAAATACAATTTCAATAAACAGATTATAAGATGTTAAACTTCCTTAGTAATTAAATAAGTACAAATTTATTTTAATGAAACAATAGTTTTCACTTATCTAACTGGCAAATATTTTTTCTTGTAAGTGACAGAACATTGTCAAGGGAACAGGGCAAGTGGCATTCCTAAGCCTGCTGAGGGAAGTGTAAACAGGCACAACCTTTCTGAAAGATGATTTCTCAATATTTATCAAAAGTGTTTAAAATGTTAGTCTGACTTGATGGTTCTGGTAATGTTAGGCAAAAGTAGACAGATCAGTCCTCCCAGTGGAAATAACTAAAAGATCTGGATTTAAAATACATTCTTAAAGCATAAAATGATATGAAAAGATAGTATAAAATTGCCAGACTGAAGGTGAAGGAGAAATAGGAATCTGAATACCGAAGCTGATCTGCCCCGAGGGAATTTGCTGATTGGTAAAAACCAGAATCTTCATCTTGATAGACTTGCAGTGGAAGGGAGACAGAAAGCAAAGCCCAGGACCTGCACCGATGGCAAGTCTGATCGGAGTCCCTCCCCCACAAGATAGTGGGGCTCTAAAACTCCTGAGTATTTACTGCTTGTATTCAAATTGCTTGGGCCAGTGAATCTCAAGCCTGGAACCTGGGTTAAAATAATTCTGGATTGGCAGTGCTTCCAGGAGCCTGGCAGAAGCAAATACAAGTCCTCTTTTAAGTAAGATACCTTCATCATAGGCCTAAATCATTTCCATAAATAATTTTTCAAATATAATGTTCAGCACATTCTCAGAGATAATC